ATTTATGTAATTTATTATAAAATAATCAAACAAACTTTTAAAAAAATATTACTTGTTTTCTTTAATATTTTTCATAACTGTACTTTTAAAACTTGATTTCTATATTTGATATTATTTTCAATATAATTTCTAGATACATGTTTTCAGGCCCGGATTTTGGGTTGTGCAAGCTGAGCTACCCCACAGGGCCCCAAATTTTAGAAGCTTAATATTTTATTTTTACTTAGTTAGTTTAGAAATAAAAATAAAAAGTTTTTAATTAAACTTAAAAGGTTTTATAAAGAAAATGGTAGGAATATGTATTTATTGTATTTTAACTTTGAGGTCTAAGGTTCAAAACTTGTGCACACTATTATTATTATTATTCCATAATATGTCTATTTTTACATGTGCGTTGCACAGAAAAGATTTGTTATAAACTTTAAATTATAACAATGAATATTATATAGTGCAATTGATGAAATGGGTTGAATTGATTATGTTTTTTTATGCCATCCTTGCTTGAATTCGAGCAAATAATTGCCCAATTATCCGTGCAGTGTGCGTGGATGTACGGATAATTTTTTTTGTTATATATTTAGATAATAAAATTACGTACGATATTAGTTTTAAAGATTTTAATTTTGGTAGGGTCTTATTTATTTACCAAATAGGGCCACAAAAATCTAAAAACCGACCCTGCTTGGGAGCCTTTTTTTTTTTTTTGGATAATTTGTGCTTTTTACCCAAAGGTTTTGAGCAACAGGACTGAACACATAAACTTGTTCTCTATACATAGTTTCCATGCATTGAATGAATGAATGAATGGAATATGGCTCCCTTTTTTTTGGATATGATCATATGAATGCCAATGTTATTACTTTATTTGTATTTTTTTTTATATATATAGCATCATCAGGTTGAATGTATTGAGTAACTATGAGTAACTAGAGCCGCCTTGCCGTTCCGTTGTCTCATCAATCAAAGAATCTCAGACTTATCTCTCTACTTTCTTTTCGTATGAATTTTCTACCTTTTTTCTAACTATATTTCCTCGCACTTCAATATGTTTTGCAGTTTATATCATCTGGTATGAGCTTGAAGATACTTAAGGAGGCTCTGATTCAACAAAAGGAAATTGAGGAAGAACCTTAGTAATAGAACCCTAATGGTTTAGTTTTTATGGAAGATTGTAGAGATGCGATCGAGAATGATAACGATGCTAATTTTGATAATTTTGTAAGATTTTCTGAAATTTAGAGTTAGTATGTTGACTTCGAGATTTGTATATGACATTCAAGTTTCTATGTTTTTTTAACAAGCAGCTAGCGTTAAGGGTTTACGTGGTTCGTTGGGGGAAAAAAGCAATCAAACAAAAGCTAAATCGAATTGAGGGGTGAGGACGTTGTAGATGAATGCCTTTTCTCATCATACTTTGCATTTTTCTAGAGAGAGTGAGAATGCGATGCTGAGGAAAGAGAAAAAGGAAATCGATAAATTTGTTTTTTTTTTTTAACCAGAAGTTTCTATGTTTTTCTTTGTAATTGTATATTTATATTAATAAATAATAAGAGGAAATTTCAATTTTGGTCCTACGACTATAGAGGTGTTAATTTCAGTCCCTGACTTTTAAAAGTGTCAATTTAGTACCTTAACTATGTAATTTTTGTCAATTTTGGTCACTCAGGTCAAATTGCCAGTCAAATTTCACCGAAAACTTTTAATTGGTCAAATAATGAGGATATTTTAGTCATTTTACTCCTCATTTTTTCATCTCCAATCCCATTCAAGCTTCTCTCCAAGAGCAGATACCAATCCAACGCTTGAACTATCCCCATTACCACAACATATACTGTTCTTGAACAGAATAGAGAGTAGTGACAAATTTTTGCGACTAAAAAAAAAAAGCAAGAAAAGTTTGCATTTACATAGACCAATCCAATGATCATTATTATATTACTGTGAAATGAAGCAAAATAGTGAACTGGGTTGGATCCGACGTGTGTAATTACACCGGCATGTTCTGTTGGTGGGCGCCAGACGAGCCGTCGGAGGCCACGGTTGCCGGGATTGATATCAACCACGCCGATGTCGTCGGAACTCCCCCGCATGAGTTGGGGCTTCTCTACGACATTTCCCTATTCCACAACAACTCCAACAGGTTCTACGGTACCCTTCCCTAGAGTTTCTTGAATCTAAAACTCCTGTTCGAGATTATATTAACCATACAAAATTAAATTTATATGAATGTTTTCTATAAATTTATGTAAATATGTACATGATTAGAGATTATATTAACCATACAAAATTAAATTTTAATTTTTTATGTTATGAAAATAGATACTTGACCAAATATATAAAAGTCCAACTATATTATTATATTGTACATTTTAACATCTTTTTATTTTTTATATTTTAATTTTAAATTCATAATAACAAAAAAAAAAAGCCGTGCAACTCACGGATAAAACAATATATTTTAAAAAATACAATTTGATAAATATCATAAATTAATTAGTACAATATCTTTTATGTTTATAACAATTAAAGAAAAATAAATAAATAATTCAAATATGTGAACCAATGATTTCAAAATGAAATTAATATACTGTTACAAATAAATATAGCATGATTAAATTTACTTTAATTAGATTTAATTCCCTTAATGATATGATTTTTCTTTATCAGTTTGTTATTAGAGACTAAGGGTGTGACACCCCGGAAATTCATTCCCTAAAACCCGAATTAATTCCTTGTGGCTTTACAATTCTTATCTTAATTTCCCTTTGAAATTAGTTGAAGGGCCTAGTTGACCAAATCCCTTACTCTTTTAATTTGGTCAATGAGTTGTACCTTGTGCTTTAGCCCTTGTACCCTAGACTTTGTCTTTCTCCTAACTAGTTTTGGGAGGAAGGGGCCCTTTTGGTCATTTCATACAATGCTAGCATTAAAACCCTACCCTAACCAAGGAATCCAAATCATTTTTCAGGATTCCCATTCTCTCTACACCTCTTTCTTGCTCCCTACTCCTCCTTCTCTCTAGGAAATCCTAGGGTTCATCTTCATAAGTTCTTCAAGAAATCCCAAGCCAAGATTCCAAATCTCCAACACTAAGGGGTAGCAATGGTAATGAAATTAATAAAGCTTAATCGGTAACAAAATTTTATATGAAAATTAACTAATATGTAATGAATTTTTATCACAAATTAAAGTTAATATGTACTTAAAAATGGAAAATGGTTATCAAATTCAGAGAATAATTAAACCATTATAATTGTGAGAATAACGGAAAGAAATTCTGCGTATTCTGCGTAATAAATGAGAAAATTTATTTGAAATTCTATGTAATTTTGTAAGGAAATAATAATTTATTAATTATTATTTACACCACTCTATATCTATACTATTAATAAAAATAAAATCTTCAATTAAAATGTCTTTCACCCTTCTGATACGAGATTGCCCTTCAAGTTCTACAGAAAACAATTCACGTTGATGCTCGCATATGTCATGACTATCAATAAAAGTCAGGGTCAAACACTAACTCATGTTGAGTTATTACTGAAAACACCAGTCTTTAATCACGGTTAATTGTATGTGACTGTTTCCGAGTCACCCATCTTGATGGTCTGATAGTTTTAACTCTAAATGAGAATGGATAAAATTTCGTTACTACTACCAATGTCGTCTACAAAGAGATTCACCAGTTTTTAATCGCGGTTAATTGTATGTGACTGTTTCCCTTAGTCACCCATCCTGATGGTCTGATAGTTTTAACTCTAGATGAGGATGGATAAAATTTCGTTACTACTACCAATGTCGTCTACAAAGAGATTTTCAATAATGTATAATTCAAGCCATTGATATTATTATTATTATTATTTTATATATATATATATATATATATATATATATATATATATATATATATATATATATATATATATATATATAAAGATGACAAAATTGCTATATATCTACATAGAAAATATATCTTCTGTATAAATAATTTCTATAACTGAGTTGCTAGACAACGAGCCAATTAGCCCAATTAATACAAATTCTAAAATCTCTAAAGTTGCAACACCGAATGCGTATATCTACACGTTAGCTATTAATTGGACAATTATGTACTCGAATTCAATCATTGATAACATCAGAAAACATAATCGGTGCAACTCAATTCTTCAATTATATTATATAATATTCAATGTTATAATTTATACAATTGTATATCGATCTAAATATTTTTAAAATATTATAACAAATTAATTTCGTGCGTTGCACGGACGCAAATACTAGTTATATTTGAAACATTATAGTTAATGCATCATTTTATACTAGTAAACAAATCTATTTTTGCAATATATGCTTTCATGGTTAAAAAATCTATCTATTATTTACTTTAAGTTAAGAAACTTGACGTGACTCAACATATATCCCAATTCAAGATGTTCTAAATGCATTAGGGTCCATGAGCTCACCTACAGATCATTTCATAACAAACCATTCTTCTTCCATTTTCATTCCTTCAATAGATCATTTCATAGTAAAACATTTCTTCCATTTGCATACATTTCTTAGTTTCTCCCCTTTTGATCTTGTCTATCTTAATTTCATGTTCTTTATGCTTTATGAAGCTCAAACTTTAAAAGTTTGAAAATCTTAAGCATACCACTCTATTGAATAGAGAAGAAATAAAGACAACACTTTTGCCTATTAAAACCCGAATTCATAATGGCAATATATGTCAAGTACGCATTTACATCACAGGCTTAAGTACGAGCAATATCAAAGAAAATAATTTGCGCGGTGGTCATCAACATTTTTTTCCTTCCAAAAAAGTGTTGATCGCTGCAGCTTCAAGCTTCCCTTGTGAATTCCTTTCAGGTTCATAATTGTGCATTTAATCTAAGCGGGTAACAAAGCTTGAGATACAAGAATTGGTAATGGAAAAAGGAAATGCCAAAACATTATTAGCATTACAACTAATAAATCAAAAGAAAAAAGATATACTTTAGATAAAAATAGAGATAAGTTATTCCATTCCCAACCTATCCCGTGAACCAAACATGTTGTAATAGATATTTTACATATATGCAAATATGCAATGCGCAGAGGGTTAACCAACATTAAAATAATCTACATTCTTGGAATGCTAAAATGGCTGTACTAGAATGTTAACTCCTAGAACAAGTGACCGCAAACTTGTTTAGGGTAGGGGTGTAAATGAGCCGAGCAGCTCGCGAGCGGCTCGGTCAAAGCTCGGCTCGAGCTCGGTCAAAATCGAGCCCGAGCCGAGCTCGAGCTGCTCATTTAGTAATCGAGCTCGAGCCGAGCCTAGATATTCTAGGCTCGTGGCTCGTCGAGCCGCTCGCGAGCCATATAATATATAATATATATAATACATAATATAATATAATAATAATATATAAAAATAACAATTAAAAATTAAAATTTTAAACTTAAAATCCCTAAAAGATTTCTATTATTTATGCATGGATAAAATAAAGTAGTTTGAATTTTAAATCAAAAGTATTAAATAGGTCAAATTCAATGTCAAAATCGAGCTCGAACTCGAGCTCAAGATCGAACTCAAACAATCGAGCTGCTCGAGCTCGCCCGAAAATTACCGAGCTCGAGCTCGAGCTCGAACTCGAGCCGAGCCTTCATTAACGAACTCGAGCTTGAGCCTACCTAGGCTCGAACTCGGCTCGGCTCGTTTACACCCCTAGTTTAGGGGAGAGCTTAATGCTCATAGCAATCAATATACAAAGCTTGTTAATATCTTCCAGTTTCTTTGAAATAACAATGACATTGGTCATAGGTAGAACCTAGAATTGTTTAAACATGCTAACATGTGGTCAAAGTATCAGGTCTGGTACAGTCACTGGACTATACAAAACATCATAATGAAATCATGAAATTCAAATAAGTGAAAGAACAAACCTGTCACACAAGAGTTGACTCAGCTGCTGGGTGCAGAAAGGAACAAGTTCTTGATCACAATCCACAACATGATCATAGACTGAATTCATACAATAAAGCCCCAAGTTCCACACTATCTCTTCCTCTCTGCCAACAAGGAAAATATTACCCCCATTGACTCCAAAAGTTTATTTTGCACCTAAACAACCAAAAAATCAATTCAAAATCAGTATCCACCACCTCCCACCCCCACCCCCCCCCCTGCTCCCCCCCCCCCAAAAAAAAAAAACAAATCTCAATCGAGGAAGAAATTCACATGAAAAATAATTAAATAAATAAAATAAGGAAAATGCATATGAATTAGTTGTAAATTTTTTACAATGGTGAATGGTTCAAACAGAGAATGCAAACTCCAGGCATGATGTTGAGCTGCTTGAGAGTGCGAAAGTAATGAAGAAAAAGAAGTAACATGATATGCCTGAAGAGCATTTAACAACTAAAATAAAGGAACTTTTAGAGGGTGGTAAGCATTTCATTGTCCTGGATGATGTGTGGACCAGAAGACTAGAAATATTTGAAAATTGCTTTTCTCAAAAGCATGAGAGGGAGTAGAATCTCTTAATAACTAGGCATGAGAATGTAGCTATATATGTAAAATTCCGCTTGTAAGCCGCACTCTTTAAATTTTTAAAGAAATGATGAAAGTTGGGAGCTACTAGAAGAAGGTTGTTCTCAAGGGAAGTTGTCCTCTTGAACTAAAAGAGGCCATAAACATATAGCTATAAAATGCAATGGACTACCACTTACAATGGCAGTTGTTGCTAGTGTATTGGACTAAGACACCAACAATGGCTACTTCTACAAGTGGCAGTCCACCGCATTTTACAGCAATGCATTCCCCGCCCTTTTCAAGCTCAATAAAACAACTTTCTTTGATAAAACCTTTCCTCTTCAGTAACTCCCAACTTTCCTTATTTCTTAAAAATTTTGAAGGGTGCAATCCACGAGAAGTATCTGCATAAAGCTGAATGCCCATCCTAAGTTGTGAAGAGAACTCTATTGCTTCCCATTTGTTGGAGAAAACAAATTTCAAGTAATTATTGTCTTAATTGGAACCCATCATCCACAACAACAAAATACTTCCAACCTTTGAAGCCTCCTTTATTAGCTATTTGTGCTATTCAAACACATCATGATATTCTTTGTTCTTCTTGGTAATGTTACTCTCAAGATGTTGATTAATATTTGCCCATGAAGCGCACATCCAAAGGTGAGTTCACAACCATCCTTTATAGTTTTTGCCCCTCTATCAAACCCCATCACATCATCTTCTTCCAAAACACAAAAGGAGCCCTGTTAACAAATTCAAGACAATTAAGGCACAATTTCTTTAAGATGTTACCGTTAACCACACAATAAAAATCAAAATGAAGTTAATAATAGGAAGATTCACTAGAAAAGTCCCTTTGAACTTTATGTAATGATTATAAGCTACTTTTAACACTTATCTTATGTTTTTTCAACTTTTTTTAGCAAGATTAATATGCTATGCTTTTATGTCACTCTGTTAATTATAATTTTTTTTCAAAATCCATACTTGAATTATATCTAGCACACTATAAACAAAAATGCTAAAAGGGTAATATGATAGGACTAAAGATCACAACAGGATATCATGATAGTATATGTAAAAGCCTCATCTAACGAAGCTAGAGAAAAATGAGTAATTGGAAATAAATTATTTGAATAAATAAAGTAAAATAGTAAATCACCAAAATTTCACACTCATTATTAGTGAACTAACAACCAGTTTTGAAACTAATAATCTAATTAAAATTCTATTTGAGCTTTTCAATTCAAAGTTTAAATTCCAGATTTATATAAAGATCGATAATTGAGCCACTGAGGTAGTTAGAATCTTGTGATACCTTTCTTTGGAGGGATTTAGGGTTAAGTCCGATTGCCCTAACGCTAGCACTGTGCTCACTTCTAAGTTCTAACCTTGTGCACCTTTCCAGATCGGCCTAGATCTCCTTCGAAGCATCGGCCTTTGACTAATAAGCAACTTCGCGGCGAAGAAAATGAAAATATTGAAGAATAAAAACTGTAAATTTTGAGAATTGAAACTTGAGACTTGAGAGGCTGCAGCCTGCGAGAGATCGTTTGAGTGAGAGAGAGATGAGAGATTTGTGTTGACTGCGGAGTTCGGATTCGGACCCTAAAAAGGCTCAAACCGCCCCGAACGTGTTTTTTATTTTTATTTTAAATACAATACTAATGTTTCACGCGTGGAGAGAAAAGTTGTTTTCAAAAAAAAAAAAAATTAGAAATATTAAAATTTTTAGTCAAGTAAACCCACAGTTTTGCAGCTAAAAGAAATGCAATTAGACAAGGTTGAATAAGCAATTATTTCTGTAATTTTGCTGAAGACCACCGTGCAAATTATTTCTGTAATTTTGCTCATATTTCAGTTCGTGAGGTAAATTTCTACTTAAGACTAACTCTGTAAAGAAATCAGGATAAGTAGATACATATTTTTTTCTTAGTTATTTACAATTTTGATTTACATATGTGACAAGGAAATTTGATTTACATAATTTACTTCTTAAATAGCATTTGCAAGTTGATAAATTTTTTTATGCATATTATCCATTTTATATATAAAAATATTAATTTGTAATTTTATAGTTCATTCTCAAGCACTACTATTAGTAACAATTCTCATTCTACCCTACTACTAAACATGTTAAATACTTTCACCAAAACTCATTATCATTATCAAGTATTTGATACTCATTGCGATTCTGATTCCCATGTGCGAACCAAACACACCCTTAATAAATCTCTAAGAAAGGAGTTTAGAGGTGGCCGACCTGGAGAGGATGATCTCACTGTCAATAATAGAGAGCTGGTTGACGGGTTTTTCTCCTAGAAATAAGTATGAAAGTGATTGTTATTGTTTGGTTGATAGGTTTTTAGAACATTATTATGGGTTTGAATATCTCATTAATTGAAAAACTCATACCCAAATACCATAAATGAGTTTTTTGCACTTTTAGTCCCACGACTATAGTGGCACTGGCAGAATTGATCCACGACTTTTGAACCTTGCAATTTTAGTCCACGACTATTGATTTTTTTGCAAAAATGATTCTTCCGACCACTTTTTCGTCAAAATTTCAACGGAAAAAAGTTTCTCCATTTTTAGCCAGGTTAAATTTGACATTTTACTTATCTCAAAAAACTAAAAGAAAAAAATTGATATTTGACTACATACAATATTACTGGGCTACATACTACTGCCCCAGGCGGCGGAGTTCCTAGAGCAGGCAGGGCTGTCAGTAAGCGGCGGAGCGGCCATGGCGTTCCCCGGGCTAGTTGGGTTATCCGGCAGCAGCATTGGAGTGGTACATGTACTCCGTCGCTTGGGGCAGTAGTATGTAGCCCAGTAATATTGTATGTAGTCAAATATCAATTTTTTTCTTTTAATTTTTTGAGATAAGTAAAATGTCAATTTTAACACGGCTAAAAATAGAGAAATTTTTTTTTTCCGGTGAAATTTTGACGGAAAAGTGGTCGAAAGGACCATTTTTGCAAAAAAACAATAGTCGTGGACTAAAATTGCAAGGTTCAAAAGTCGTGGATCAATTCTGCCAGTGCCACTATAGTCGTGGGACTAAAAGTGCAAAAAACTCTAACATAAAGGTTTCATTCCCTTATTCCTTCACAAGCACTACTATTAGTAACCATTCGCATTCCACCCTACTACCAAACATGCTAAATACTTTCACCGAAACTCATTACTATTACCAAGTATTTGATACACATTCCGATTCCGATTTTGATTCGTATGTGCGAACCAAACACGCCCAGTATAATTTCAATAAACATAACAATCACAATGAGCATCAGTGAAACAAGTATGAACATAGAGAACACTCACAATGAGCATGTGTGAAACAAATATGAACATTCAAGACCAACAGAAAAAACACAAGACTTCAACCATTAAGACGAGATTAGAAAACAATTTGCTCCTAAGTCCTAATGGACTCATGCTTCTTGAGGATTTGTCTGACATTGCAAGACTTCAAAGATTTTGAAATTTCATTATACCTATAGAAATTTTGTTACTTTAAATGATACCCTTCCAAAAGTCATCAACCTTTTCACAAGCATGAAAGATAGGTAGATAGAGGTTTTTTGACACCTATAAATATTATTTTAGATGATATGTTACAAAGAAGCAGATAACATTAGATTAAACCTCACAGAGTCACACCCAGATTGCACTTATAACATGAGAAGAACAGAGCACCATAGATAACGAACTCACACTGCTAATCGAGTCTTAGGCAAATATTCAATGTGTTTGAATAAATGCTCAGGCCTAAGGTTAACTCTTTTACAAAAAGAATAGCACCTTTTTGTTGGGGACATTTAAAGAGTAGGCTTTGTCACACATTGCTTATCTACCTTTCTATCTCCCACTATTTAAACTACCACTTATTTTAGAAGGCTTGAAGTATTATGAAGAGGGAACAAGGGGAGATCCCGCGCCGCTGCCGCCCGCCCGCTCGGCTCTCGGTGTGGTGGGGTCAAAATTTTGGTTCGCACATCTTTTTTTTTAAACTCCTATTTTTAAGGAAGTTTGACCACCTTGTCCGCACACTATGTACAGAGACGTGAAACGTGTGTGGATAATTTGTGGAGATCCTTCCCTTGCTCTCCCTCTCTGTAGGACTTCTTGGGCTTGTAATGAAGGAGTGGTTTCATACAACTAGTATATAAACCCACTGCTTCATTACATCAAGGGACTGAACCTTGAGATTACCTGAGATTTTTGAACCCACATGTTCTTGTGATTCTGTGTTTTCCTGTCGAAAGCAGCGATATCCTGGTCGCAAACGCTTTTAAGGAAGTGTCTAAAACACACGCCACAGATATAATCCTAACAATATTCTATACAGCTCTGTTCGAATTTCTTTCTGCATTTCGTTCGCACAGCAGCATCATCGCCAACCTGTTCTTCGAAGCAGTGATCGCAGCAGTGGTCGCACAGCAGTGGTAACGCAGAAAACAACATTTAAAAGCATTTGTTTTTCAGCTATGTCGCAATCCACGAACAACAACTCTGATGTTGCTCCCATTGAACCTCTCACGGGGGGTTTAAACTACAAGAGATGGGCTGGTAAGGTCTTGATGCTTCTGGAGTCCAAAGATGTGGACTATGTAATTTTTGAAGATCCTGAGATGCCTGCTGAGGTTACTGTGCAGTCCACTGAGAAAACTGTTACAACCACGGAAACGCAGGCCACTTCAGCAGACTCAACTGCTGCAAAGTCGACTCCAGAGCAGTCGTCCACGACCCTCCAAGCGTCTCGTACAAAATACGAGAAAGACAACAAAACTGCACGCACATTAATTCTCCAACGGGTGAGTAATCCACTTTTTGATATGTTTTCAGTGCATAAGTCTGCAAAACTGATCTGGGGGATGATGAAAGAAAAATATGGCGTTGATGACGTTGGAAGACGAAAGTATGCGGTGAATCGCTGGCTACACTTTAAAATGACGGATGCCAAGCCGATTACAGAACAGGTACACGACTTTGAAAACTTGGTGGCTGATATGACATCAGAAGGGGCTTTGGTTAATGATGCTTTTTTGACCGACGCTTTGGTTGATAAACTACCTGACTCATGGCTGGACTTCAAGAACAAGTCGAAACATGAGCTCAAGAATCACACCCTGCAGCAGCTAATCCACACAATCAATATAGAGGAAGAAAATCGCCTGGTTCAAAAATCTGGTAATTTTTCTGACAATATTAATGCTAATGTAGTTGAAATGGGTGGGGGTTCTGACAGGTCAAAGCCTGGGGAAAGTGCCAGAAACCAAAAGAAAGGCTCAAAACCAAACATTAATAACCGTGTAAAAAAACGGTAAAGTTCAGAAAAAAGGGAAAAACAACCCAGAATGTTACGTTTGTGGAAAACGTGGGCACAAAGCCAAATACTGCTATCACAGGAAAGGTTCAACAAACCAAACGGGTCAAAAACCAAGTAATGAAGGACAACAACACCAAGCGAACATGGTGGAAAATCCAGAAGATACCGAAATGGTAGCAGCTGTAATCACTGAGGCAAACATGGTAGGAGATCCAGATGAGTGGGTTGTGGACACGGGAGCATCTCGTCATTTCTGCAACAACAAGGATCTGTTCAAGGTGCTCGAGCTCAACACCGGAGATGAACAAGTCTTTATGGGGAACTCCAGTATCTCTAAGGTAAGTGGTAGAGGGAAAATTGAGTTAATGCTTTATTCTGGAAAGCTTATGTTATTGGAAAATGTGCTATATGTCCCTTCCCTGCGTAGAAACCTTATTTCCGGAGGCCTATTGAATAAGGCTGGAATAAAAATGGTTTTCGAGTCTGACCGTTTGGTTCCGACTCACTGTGGGAAATACCTGGGAAAGGGATATTTTCGTGCTGGCCTTTTTGTGTTAGATGCTTCTGTAGCTAGAAATCAAGTTGCTCGAGTAGGCTCTATTAAATGCGATCTCATTTCAAACAATGTTGCTAATAATAAAGCTTCCTCTTCTGCTTATATAGTTATTTCTTTAAATCTTTGGCATGATAGATTAGGACACGTTGGCACCAAAGGTTTAAACAGGTTAAAGAGCATGAATTTGTTGCCAAAATTGTCAAGTGAAGCATGCACACAATGTGAAATTTGCGTTGAATCAAAATTTGCTAGAAGTTCATTCCCAACAGTATGTAACAGAAAAACATCAATTTTAGAACTGATTCACTCGGACTTAGCCGATTTCAAAACCACTGAAAGTAGAAGTGGAAAACGTTACTACATTACGTTTATTGATGATTTTTCGCGTTTCACTAAACTTTATCTATTGAGATCAAAAGACGAAGCTAAACAGAAATTTGTGGTTTTTAAAAATGAAGTAGAAAACCAATTAGACAAAAAGATAAAAAGACTTCGTTCTGATAGAGGGGGAGAATATGAATCAAATTCTCTTAAAACACTATGTGAAAGTTCTGGCATTATACATGAAGTTACTGCACCATACACTCCCCAACAAAATGGCATTGCTGAGAGGAAAAACCGAACTCTCAAAGAAATGATTAATGCAATGCTAATCAGTTCAGGTGCTCCGGACTCTTTGTGGGGGG